ATCTATCTATCTATCTATCTATCTGTCTGTCTGTCTGTCTGTAATTTTTTAATGAACTCTTTCTTCAACCTAAATAACCACCGATTCCTCAGTCTAGTCATGTGACTCGAACACACATAAACACAAACACCGCCCCCGCTCGTATGTGGCGGCCGCATGTCTGATGCGCAGATCTCGTTAAAGACAGAAAAATACACTGGCTGTTATTGTTGTCGTGGCTGCTAGCGTATAATTTCGAGGGTGGAGTCGGGATCGGGTTTCCCTACGACTCGCTCAGTGTTTTGTGACGGTTCTATAGAGAGAAAGGAGGCCCGACCTTGAACGTATTGTTGAAGCGAAGTAATGCAGTGTAACACAACAAACATCTTCTGACACACACACACACACACACAGACACAGACACAGACACACTCACACTCTCACACACACACACACACACACACACACTCCACAATCTTTCCTTCTTTCTCTTAAAAAAGAGAAAAAAAATTTTAGTGTTTTGGAAAGTCTTGTGTGGCCCTGAAACTTCCTTCTGGTTTGTTCTGGTTTCTAAATGACTTTACATTAGAAAACATACAGATCAGATAAAGCAGCGCACGAAACGACCTGTTCACTCAAGCTCCATCATGTATGGCCCTATGAAATCAATTTAATTTTTTCCCAAATTCCATTTAATTTTTTTCCAACTTTTATTTTTTTCATTCCTTTTTTTTTTCTTTTTCATTTTTCTGGACTCAATTTTAATGACTAAATTAAATTTTAGTAATCAAAAAGCATGTCTAATTAACTGAAATCATTAAACTTTTTAACAACAACAATTTAACAATAAAAAAATGAACAAAATTAAATTTTTAGGTCCCTATGAAATGCGTTTTATATTTTATAAATTCTGTGTTTTTCATTTAAATTTTTCTGGATTCCATTTTAATTGTTTAATTACATTTGAATAATTCAAAAACATGTCTAATTAATAAAAGTAATACTTTTTTTCAGTAATAGGCAGGGTGCGAACTACGGGGGAGCTAGGGGGATCTCGGCTCCCCTTAATAAGACATGGGCTCCCCTGAAAATGTGATTTGTGAAATTTTGGGGGTCTCAAAAAATATTAACAATGTGTTATTTTGACGTGCAATTTCAGTTTTGTGTAATGTGATCATCGTAGATTATTATGTGTAAAATTGCAAAAATATCATTAATTCATGCATGACGGCGATTTAAACCTACTTCACTTCAATAAAGATAACTATACATGCTATTCTTGTCATGAGCATCAAGGTGTGGGGGCGCTGCGGTGCAAATTCCACTCATGTTTAGTACATGTTAACTCAAAGATTCGTATGGTCAAATGAAGGCATAAACATTAATTGAATTTATGCTTTAATCAAATGAAAATTAAACAAACTCTTACATTTTTTGGCAAACAAAGTGCTGCACAACAGAGGTTTACTGTTTCAATTAAAACATGGAAGAACAAATTATTATTACTATTGTTATTATTTTGTGGTTTAATATTCACAGACATTAGTCCATATCGGATCTAAACAAAGCTAAATTCTCCATTACAGGAGATGAGAGTTTTTGTGAACATTGCTCTTGTCAGGTTTATGTTTCTGTGCTGTGCGGCAGACGCACTTAATGGACCCGCAGCTGCTTACAGCTACACATAAATCCAGAGAAATATATTGGGACTAATAAACTCAGTTACTTATTTCATTTCAAACACACTGACCCATTAATAACCCTTACAAATGTGTTCACCTCACCTCAACGGGACAATGAACAGAGGAACCAGAGAGAGCCACGTGCTAATATGAACATACTGACTGCCAAATATGGAGAATTAGAAGCATTACACCGCTGAAAGACTGGATTAAACTAAGCTGAGGTTCGGCTAAACGAGTTCCCATTAACTAAAGCTTCATTTCTATAGAACCTTTTGAAACAGTGTTTGAAAAGTGCTGTCATTCAACATTATGAAGAAATAAAACAAAATAGAACTTGAGAATATATGTAAAAAAAAAAAAAAGAATAAAATATAATAAAAATAAGAACATAAAATGCTATACAAAAAAATGAATAAAATGCAGCAATAAAATAAAATAACTAAAAATATAAAATTGAATACAATAAGATAATAAAATATCTACAAAAGATAAAAAAAAAATCAAAAAGCAGAATGCAATACAAAGATAAAATAATAAAAATGAAAATGCAATAAGAGAATAAATATAATTTTGAGACAATAAAATGTAATAAAATAATAGAATATAACAGAATAAGAAAATACAATGCAATAAGAGAATAAAATATCTGAAAATGAGAAAAAAAATGTGATGCAAAAATGTAATAATTTAAAAATGTAAATAAAATGCATCAAGAAAATAAAATAATTTTGAAAAATAAGGAAAAAATTAAATGAGAATAAAACAACTTAAAACAAGACAATAAAATGTAATAAAATATAACAAAGAATAAGAAAATAAGATGCAATAAGAGAATAAAATGGCTAAAATCAAGAATAAATATAAAACGCAATAAACAATAAAAATAAAATGCAATAAGACTATAAAATATCTAAAAAAAAAAAAAACATGAGAATAAAATAAGAAAAAAGTGAAAATAAAATGCAGAAATAAAATAATTTTAAAATTATAAAATAAAAAACATTAAGAGAATAAAATATAACTTAAAAATAAGACAATAAAATGTAACAGACAAAAAGACTATAAAATATATATTAAAAAAAAAAAGATCTGCCTAACCTAGACCAGAAAACCTAACTGGGCATTTTTAATTCAATTCTGGAAGGCACACAATCCTGCCATGCACAAGCCAAAATCTGACACCAAATGGACTCCAAATGCTCTGTGTGAAATTATCCTTCAAATACTTCATTTTGACTGTTGCGCTTTCGCTGACCTCTCGAAGCTGTCAGAAAGAGATTGCAAAACAATGAAAGGCAAGAAACACATCTGATGGTATTGTCTCTGTATTGAAACAGCTCTCGCATACATTGTGGTTGACTCCTGGCAAGGTAATTACCGGAATAGAAAGGCATAGGCGTTTACTGTACTCTGCCAGGACGATAACCTTTGATTCAGATTTAAGGACCCACAGTCTGGGCAAAGCAAGACATGCTAGAGTCCCAAAAGCCTCAGAAGGATGTGTAGCAGATTGCCTAATGTCAGCCCAGTTTCCTTTCTTTGTCCAGTCCAGCAGAATCAATCTGCAGCCAAACACATAAATCAGAGTGGAGTGGCGTGGACAGTGAATGGACACACGACGTGCCAAGACACAGAGCTCCGAGCACGGTGAGGAGCCCACATGCGCGTCCTTACCCAGTTTGGTCATTCCATACGGCTTTTTATTAACGCTTCCTGCCATTGTGTTGTACTGCGGACACTTAAAAAGACCGGGCTGAACAGAGCCGCTCAGCAAAACGCATGAAGCAAAATGGAGAAACTAATGGAGAAAATAAAATGCATTAAGAGAATGAAATAACAAAAAATAAGAAAATAAACATGAAACATGAAGCATGAAAATTAAAAAAAAAAAAAAGAAGAAAATAAAATGCAATAATAGCATGAAAAAATTAATTAAGAAAATAAAATGCAATATGAAAATAATTTAAATAAGGAACTAAAATGCCGTAAGAGAATAAAATAATTTAAAAAATAAAATAAAATCAATTAATTAAATAAGGAAATAACATGCAATAACAAAAAATAATAAAAAAATAAAATAAAAAGCAATGATAGAGTGAAGTAACAAATAAGACAATGCAATATAAAAATAAAAATAAGAAAAAAATAAGAAAATAAAATGCAATAAGAGAGTGCAGAAACAAAACAAAAAAACACAAT